TTATCACCATGGAAGAAGTCTCAAGCGATGAGGACAACGAGTTCGGACTCGTCATCAAGAAATTCCACAAATTCATGAAGAAGGATTTTGAACGGAAAGGAAGAAAGCACGACGGTCCCCCGAAGTGCTATGGCTGTGGCGAGATAGGCCACATCAAGCCGAGGTGCCTAAAAGGCAAAAGCGGCAAGGACAAACCTGGCTTCAAAAAGCAACGTGCCTATATCTCATGGGGTGGCAACTCCGGCGACTGATCAAGAAGAGGAAGAAGCCGCCAACCTTTGTCTCATGGCACACGAAGACCACGCCGACGAAGTACAAGAGGTATGTACCCCTTCTTCCGACTCTTACACTTTTGAAGAGATGCAAGAAGCACTTCGAGAGCTTTATAATGAATTTGTTAGCGCTTCTAAAACCAACAAATCATTAAAGAAACGTCTTTCAACTCTTGAAAATGATTTTGAAAAACTAGAAAAAGATAATGAAAAGTTGAAACAAGAAAATAAATTTTATGGCAAAAGAGGTGCTGACAAACCAGAAAGCTCTTCAAGCGAATGTGAATCTTGCAAAGCTTTAAAAGAAAAGGTTGCAAAACTTGAGAGTACAGTTAAGAAATTCAATACACCACACAAAGATCTTAACTTACTCCTTGACACTATGCATTTTTCTAAGGAAGGAATATGTTATGATAAAAATGAATTTAAGGATAAAAACGTTGAGCAAACACCTAGACAACCTCCTAAGGCTCAACATAAGAAAGGTAAAAATCAGGATAATAGAAAATCTAGTCAACCTAAGGACACTAGACAACCTAGACAAAAACCTAGGAATGAAAATGTGCATGTCAGACAACCTAGGAAAAACTATCAAAATGAATTTGTGCATAAAAATAATTTTTCAAATAGACAAAATAATGCTAGAACACCTAGAAGAGAGAATTTTCAAAAACCAATATTTTCCCAAAATAGGATGAATATGGTCACGCCCCCTAGCAACTATTATCAACCTAGGAGGATGCACAACCCAAATGTAGTTTGCCACTATTGCAATAGGGTAGGACATATAGCTCCCGTTTGCTTTACTAGGCATAGGCATTGGGCACAAAATGAATCACACTACCACTTTGCACCTAACACTCAAGGACCCAAAAAGACTTGGGTACCTAAATCTTATTAAATCATTTTTGTAGGTGTGCTTGAAGGCATCAAGTGTACTTTGGTACCTTGATAGCGGATGCTCCAAGCACATGACCGGAGATGCATCCAAGTTCCTACAAATCAAACCCGCTAAAGGAGGAAACGTAGTCTTTGGAGAAAATAGCAAGGGAAAAATTATCGGCATCGGTTCGGTAGGTAAGTCTGAAGACACTTCTATAGATAATGTCTTGCTAGTTAAAGGTCTTAAACACAATCTCTTGAGCATAAGTCAATTATGTGACAAGGGAAACCGTGTGGCCTTCGATTCAAAATCATGCACGGTAGAACGCCTTAGTGACAATAAGGTCATTCTACGTGGTGATAGAATCGATAACATATATATGGTTAACTTAGACAAATCTCCTTCCGGCTTTGTTAAGTGCCTCATGAGTAAAGAGGAAGACACTTGGTTATGGCACCGAAGGGTAGCTCATATGAACATGAACCTTTTGAACAAATTGGTTTCACAAGACTTAGTAATTCGCATTCCAAAACTTAAGTTTGAAAAAGACACCATATGTGATGCATGTAAAAAGGGGAAGCAAGTTCGGGCTTCGTTTAAGTCCAAAAACGTCGTTTCAACGTCTAGACCGCTTCAACTTTTGCACATGGATCTCTTTGGTCCTTCTAGAACGAAAAGTTTTGGTGCTAATTACTTTGCGTTTGTGATTGTCGATGACTACTCTAGGTTTACATGGACCTTGTTTCTAACTCACAAAAGTGAGGCATTTCACGTTTTCAAAAATTTTCTAAAGAAAGTTCAAAATGAAAAAGAAACAACCATAGTAGCCATAAGAAGCGACCATGGGGGAGAGTTCGAACGAAATCTATTCTCAGATTTATGTGACGAACTCGGCATTGATCATAATTTCTCAGCCCCACGTACACCACAACAAAATGGAGTGGTGAAATATAAAAATAGATGTCTCGAAGAGATGGCTAGAACTATGATCAATGAGGCAAAAATCCCTAAGTATTTTTGGGAGGATGCCGTGAGTACCGCGAGCTACGTATTAAACCGAGCCGTCATTCGACCAATACTCATGAAAACGCCTTATGAACTATACAAAGGGAGAAAGCCAAACCTTTCCCATCTTCGAGTCTTTGGTTGCAAATGTTTTATTCATAACAATGGCAAAGACAATTTGGGTAAATTTGATGACAAGTCGGATGAAGGAATTTTTCTGGGTTATTCACTTCGTAGCAAGGCCTATAGAGTCTTTAATAAACGCACCTTGACTATTGAGGAGTCCCCTCACGTTGTATTTTCCGAAGATAATCCTCGCTTGGTGAGAAAGGATATTTGTGATGATCTTACAGATTCATTAGAGAGAATACACGTCGAAGACGATGAAGAGAACACAGGAATATACACCATCACGCAGCCGCAAATTGGGGAAATACCTCAAGCGACTAACCAAGGTGAAGAAGAAAATCAAGAGGAAGAAGAAGAACAAGAGGAACACGAAGAAGAAGCAACTAAGCTTCCCATTGCATGGAGAACGAACAAGAACCATCCGCTTGACCAGATAATCGGTAGCATCAACCACGGGGTAAGTACTCGAAACTCACTTAGGGACACCGTAGGTTACATGGCTTTTGTTTCTCAAGTTGAACCTACAACCATTTTCGAAGCAACAAACGATGAACATTGAACCTTGGCTATGCAAGAGGAGCTAAACCAATTCAAACGGAATGACGTTTGGGAATTGGTGCCAAGACCCAATGATCGTACGATTATTGGTACGAAATGGGTGTTCCGTAACAAACTTGATGAAAATGGAATAATCACTAGAAACAAAGCTAGGCTCGTAGCTAAAGGCTAAAATCAAGAAGAAGGCATTGATTTTGAAGAAACTTATGCACCCGTAGCACGTTTAGAAGCCATTCATTTACTTCTTGCTTTTGCTTCGTCTATGGATTTTAAACTTTATCAAATGGATGTTAAGAGGGCCTTCCTCAATGGTTTTATTAAAGAGGAAGTGTATGTTGACCAGCCCCCGGGGTTTGAAGACTTTGAGTTTCCCGACCATGTCTTCAAACTCAAGAAAGCGCTCTACGGTCTTAAACAAGCACCCGTGCTTGGTACGAACGTTTGAGTAAATTTCTTTTGGATAGTGGTTTCCAAAGGGGAAAGGTTGACACTACACTTTTTATCAAGAGTAAAAACAATAACATCCTTTTGGTTCAAGTTTATGTTGACGATATTATATTCGGTGCTACTAACGAGTCTTTGTGCAAGGAATTCTCAACGTTAATGACAAGCGAGTTCGAAATGCCGATGATGGGCGAGCTCACGTTCTTTTTGGGACTCCAAGTCAAGCAAATGAAGGATGGAACATTCATTTGCCAAACTAAATATTGCAAGGAGCTCCTAAAACGATTCGAAATGGACAACGCCAAAGCCATGGCAACCCCGATGAGCACGTCCGACCATCTAGACAAAGACGAGAAGGGTAAGGAAGTAGAAGTAAAAAAGTATCGAGGTATGATCGGATCCCATCTCTATCTTACCGCTAGCAGGCCGGATATCATGTTTAGCGTATGCCTTTGCGCAAGGTATCAATCATGTCCGAAGGAATCACACTTAACGGCGGTGAAACGGATCATGAAATACCTTGTTGGCACGATTAACGTTGGACTGTGGTATCCAAAAGGCTCTTCGTGTCATCTCGTTGGTTATTCCGACTCGGAATTTGCCAGTTGCAAATTGGACCGTAAAAGCACGAGTGGGACTTGCCACTTGGTAGCTCCTTAGTTTCATGGTTTAGTAAGAAACAAGTCAGTGTTGCATTATCCACAACCGAAGCAGAATACGTTGCCGCCAGTAGTTGTTGTGCTCAAATCCTTTGGATGAAGCAACAACTCGTAGACTATGGCCTTAGTATCAGTCACTTTCCACTTCGTTGTGACAATACGAGCGCCATAAGCTTGACGAAGAACCCCGTTCTTCACTCAAGGACGAAACACATTGACATTAGGCACCATTTCATTAGAGATCATGTTCTCAAAGGTGATGTCGAAATTGAGTTTGTTGAAACACACAACCAATTAGCCGACATTTTTACAAAACCTTTAGAGAAAGAGTCGTTCTTCCGCATTCGTAGTGAACTCGGAATCCTTGACTCCACGATGATCTAATTTGTGCATTTTATCACTCTTTTATCTTTGCTTGAACGTTTACAGACTTGAGCGTCAGAGGGTTTTCTAACTCTTTTTTGCAGGGACGATTCGAAGTGAAGAATTCTGGAAATCAGGGGGAACCAGGGATGGGTGGGTTATACTATCGATGGGAGGGAAGTTCTCTTTTTTACAGAACCCCTCTTCCCATCGATGGGTACTTTCTCCCATCGATGGGTAATTAACTCTATTTTTTTAAAATTTTTTAACGTATTTCCAGAAACCCTTCACCCATCGATGGGTATTTTATCCCATCGCTGGGTGAATGACTTGTGTTTTAAAATTTTTTTTCTAGAACCTCCCCACCCATCGATGGGTACTTCCTTCCATCGCTGGGTATTTTACACTATTTTTTAAAACTTTTAACGGATTTCCAGAGGTCACCTTCCCATCGATGGGAGAATCCAAACATCCCTGGGAAGGCAACCCGTTCCTTTTTCTCGCTTTCCAGTAGCGACCTTCCCATCGATGGGAAGATCCACCCATCGCTGGGAAGGCAGTTGCAGTTCAAATTTTCAGAGCCGTTGCACACACCATTAAATGCCCAACAGCCACTTTTTTCAAATTCAAACGGAAATCTCACCCTTTCCTATATATATCCTTCATCTCCACTCATTTTAATACACAATGTTCACATCGAAATCTCCTTTTTTAGCCTTTGCTTCATAATTCTTCATCTTTTTTGCCTCAACAATGGCCGGAGGAAAGTCGAAGAGCAAAGCGTCCAAGAAGAAAGGTCCGGCCGAGGCCACAACCTCTGCGCCTCAACCCTTTCCGTACCTGGACGGATCCTTTCTCGAGTTTGGCTCGGAGGAAGAACTCACTCGCTTCATCACCCACTTCGCCAAACGCCCTATCTCTTCGCCAAGGGTGCTACCCGAGTTGTTCCCTCACCAAAAAGGGTACCACGACCTCGACAATCAACTCAAAGAGTCGGGTTTTTGGCCCTTCGTCTCCAAGAGCCGCACCTCCTTCAATCCCGCCTATGTCCGGGCCTTCTACTCCAATCTCTACCGGGATGGGGACACCATCCGCAATAGCATCAATCTCTATGACATATAGATTGATTTGGCTACCTTTGCTCAAGTCGCAGAGCTGCCCACCCGCAGTGACGACATCGCGTCGTATGGGGGCGACGATTGGATCCTCAACAACGAGGCCGCCGTCATCCGTGAGCTCGGGATCACCAACTTGATCCCCGCGCACTGACGATTCACTCGGCTCCAGCGGAGAAACGCCTCCTCCTCTACATCCTCACCCGGATCCTCCGCCCCCGGGATGACAGCCACACCTCGCTCTTCAACGACGACTTGAGGGTAATTCATGCGATCATGCACGGCGCCTCCATCAATTGGGCGAAGTACATCATGATTCACATGACAGATTGCGCCTCCATTCTCCACGAGCGGAGCTTGCCATACGCTTTCCTTGTCATGGACCTCATCGTCTCTGCCGACATCCTTATTGTCGGGCCAAGCACGAAGATGACGAAGCTTTGGGTCATCGCCGACAACACCTTCAAGAAGAAGTCCGGAAACCGAAACGGCGCCGGAACGAGTCGTGCCTGTGCCCCTGCCCGTGCCCCCGCTCCCGCTCGGGCCTCATTGCAGTCCATAGCCGACACCCTGAATCGGCTAACCCTCACGGTGGACGGCATGGGGCAGTACATGGAGAGGATGGACTGGACGCTGCAACGCCAACACCATGACATGAGGGCGTTCTTTCGCGGCATCAACTACGCCCCGCCGCCCTTTGACAGCACCATCCTCGGCCAAAACTATGAAGGCAAAGACGAGGACGATGACTCCTATGCTCCGTCCTCCTCCCCCGACGAGGCCAACTTTGAGGACGCGGTCGATGGCGATCCCATGGACGTCGAGGACGACGAGGGTGATGATGACGACGAGGACGAGGACGCCGATGCCTAGACTCTTCCTTTCTTTCCTTTCCTTACTATGATTGTATTTGTTATTTCCATTCCGTTGTATTCCGCATTTCCCTTTTTTTAATGAATAAAAGTTTACTTTTAAATTCTAAAGTTTACTTTTAATTCTTTTTGTTAATGTCAAAAGGGGGAAGATATCAAAGTTATGCATAAATTGAGGGGGATTTTTTTAAAAAATAAAATGGCATCTATTAAGGGGGAACATTTTTTTAAAAAAGTCTCAAAATAATCCTCCTATGCATAACCTCGTCTCGTTTGCCATTATCAAAAAGGGGGAAATTGTTGAAACACGGGCTTGTCACGTTTTCGTACTAAAGCCGTGTTTGTTTTTATGACAGGTTTTGATAATGCAAAACCGCCGTGATCAAGACAAACATTGAATATACAAGGCGAAGAACGAAGATAAAGAACAAGAGCTAAAAGAGACCAAGAACGAAGACCGTAGTCTTTAGTATCATTGAGTCGGTCATAATTGTGATCAAGACCGACCCAACCTTCACGCACTCGCTCTTTAGGCTAAAATCTTTTATTGCATTTATCACATCATAAAAATGTTTTTCAAACATGTTTAAATCATTAAAAACACTTGGTGTTCGCTCAAACCAGAAACCAAGCCATCTGACGTTCGGCTTTCAGAAACCGGCATTTGGCACGGTTATCAGCGTTGGTTTTTGGCGTCCAAACCAACCAAGTGGTTTTTGTTGGAACATGGGTTTGCGCCTTCGTCATACTAAACTATGTTCGTTCCTATGACAGGTTTTGATAATGCCAAACCGCCGTGACATAACAAGGCTAAAGTGAGCAAAAACCAAGGCGAAGGAACATGGCATGATGATTTGAGAACCAAGAATCAAGAACGAAGAATTAGAATTGTATTGGATCGGTCTTAATGTGATCAAGACCGGCACAAACTTTCAAAACTTGGCTCTCTAGGCTCATTTCATCAAAATACTTTTTACAAATTCAAAAATGTTTTTCATAAGTTTTCCACTTGTCAAAAACACTTGAATTTCGCCCAAACCAAAAACCAAGCCATCCGGCATTTGGCCTTCAAAAACCGGCGTTCGGCTTTTGGTTTTCGGCGTTGATTTTTGGCGTCCGAACCAACCAAGTGGTTTTCAACTTCTTATGATTGGTTTTTACTTCTAGGCATATTTAAAAAGTTCTCCAACAAAAACGCTTCAAAAATCACCTTCCGTTGTTGGTCGTTTAGTGAAAACCATGCGAAACGGCGCAAACTTGGTTAGCCGTGTTTTTCAACTAAATGACGTGGTTTTTAGGATGTTTTACTTGATTTCTTAGCAAAATGAAATAAACAAATGTTTTCAATACTTGGTTTTCATTTTGGAGAAATTATTTTTTGACATCGGCTAACGGCATGACTAAACCAACCATGGGTCTGGCTAAACCAGCCCAACAGCGATGTTGGTGTAACCAACAGCGCTGTCTGGCTTGGGTAGCTAAAAACCATGGTTTGGAATTAAGTCTTCCAACAGCGATGTTGGACTTCAGACATCACTGTTGAGCCAAGGTTGGATTTCTAGAAACTTCTGGAACAGCGATGTAGGCTTCCCTACAGCGCTGTCGAACCTAAGCCAAAAATATAGTGCATTGGTAGAAAGTTTTTGGACAGTGATGTTGACCCAGCAACAGCACTGTCAGGCCAAACTTCCATCTTCAAAAGTCAGACCTAAACAGCGATGTTCAAGTAATGAACATCGATGTAGGGACCTGACCGTTGGAAGGAATTTAAGGCTAAAACTTTCCTTGTTTGGAAGTCAACAGCCAAAACAGCGATGTAAGGGTATTAAACATCGCTGTTGGCATGACCGTTGCTTCCCAATTTTCAAAATCCAAGCTTAGAACAGCGATGTCCAAGCCTAGGACAGCGCTGTCTCGGTGAACTTTAGCAGATCCAAATTTAATCAAATCCCACAAATTGTGCAAATCACCCCTTAAATACTTTGGTCCGTTGGAGCCTATTTTTTTTACTATAAAATGGGGTGTTTGGGTCTGTTTTACACATCACATTACTTCACAACTCCTACTCTTTCATTGCAAATCATTCATCCTTTATTCATAGCTTTTTGAGAGCCATATTTTGTGAAGCTTGTGTTGTGTTCTTGAGCGTTCTTAGTTACTCATTATCCACTCTAAAAGAGAGTATTGTTCTTGAGTGTTTTTAGTGTTCTTAGACACTTGACAAGAGAAAGTATTTCTCTTGTTGTTCGAAGGAAGGGTTGTTTCCTTCGAAGGTTCGTTGAGGTTCGTGTGACTCGAACTCTCAAGTTGTACGGGTTTGTTAAGCACCGTTAAGCTTAACGAGATAGTAGTGTAGCTCGAGAGAGTCTCTCGGGAGGCTGGATTAGCCACAAGTTGTGGTGAACCAAGGTAAAATCGGTGTGCCTCTTACTCTTCTCCTTACTTCTTGTTTTCTCACTTTTTTATTCCTGCGATTTTTTTGATCAAACACTATTCACCGCCCCTCTAGCGTTGGTCTATTATTCTAACAATTGGTATCAGAGCCTAACTCGCGTCCAAACTTAACCGTTTGAGAGTAAAGCGATCATGGGTTCTTCTTCTAGAAATCTCTATGCAGGAATTGGAGAAGGTCAATCAACTTCTAGGCCACCACTCTTTGATGGCACCAACTATTCCTATTGGAAGGAACGGATGAGAATCTTTATCCGTTCCACCAACTTCCAATTATGGTTGGTCATCAAAAACAGAGAGGAAATCCCGATGAAGAAAGTTGACGACAAGTTGATCCCCAAGACCGAAGATGAGTTTGATGCCGAGGACATCAAGAAGATTGAGAATTATGCAAAGGCCATCAATATGCTATATTGTGCGGTCAACCCCGATGACTACCGGAAAATCTCCTGCTGCACAACCGGAAAGGAGATGTGGGACAAGCTTGAAGTGACGTACGAAGGTACCGATCAAGTTCGTGAAGCCAAGATCGATTTTCTCACCCAAGAGTACGAAATGTTCCAAATGAAAGAAGGTGAGAAAATCGATGACATGTTCGACCTGTTCTCAAAGATCATCAACGACCTTCATGCTCTCAAAAAGACTTACGCCAACAAGGATCTCGTGAGGAAAATCCTGAGGAGTCTCACACCCAAATGGAGATCAAAGGCTGACGCAATCTACGAGTCCATTGGAGTCTCCAATGTCACCATCGACGGGCTAAGAGGTAACCTCAAAACTTATGAATCTACTATTCTAACCCCGTCTTTGGATGAACAAAAGAAGAAAGGAATAGCGCTCAAAGAAACCAAGGAGACCGTGGAAGAAGTCTCAAGTGATGACGACAAGTTCCACAAATTCATGAAGAAGGAATTTGAACGGAAAGGAAGAAAGCACGACGGTCCCGCGAAGTGCTATGGCTGTGGCGAGATAGGCCACATCAAGCCAAGGTGTCCAAAAGGCAAAAGCGGCAAGGACAAACCTGGCTTCAAAAAGCAACGAGCCTATATCTCATGGGGTGGTGACTCCGGCGACGAGTCAACTGATCAAGAAGAGGAGGAAGCCGCCAACCTCTGCCTCATGGCGCATGAAGATCAAACCAACGACGTTCAAGAGGTATGTACCATTTCTTCCGACTCTTATACTTTTGAAGAAATGCAAGAAGCACTTCATGAGCTTTATGATGAATTTGTTAGCGCCTCTAAAACCAACAAATCATTAAAGAAACGTCTTTCAACTCTTGAAAATGATTTTGAAAAATTAGAAAAAGATAATGAAAGGTTGAAACAAGAAAATAAATTTTATGGTAAAAGAAGCGCTGACAAACCAGAAAGCTCCTCAGGTGAATGTGAATCCTGCAAGACTCTAAAAGAAAAGGTTGCAAAACTTGACAGTACGGTTAAGAAATTCAATACACCACACAAAGATCTTAACTTACTTCTTGACACTATGCATTTTTCTAAGGAAGGAATAGGTTTTGATAAAAATGAATCCAAGGATAAAAACGTTGAGCATACACCTAGACAACCTACTAAGGCTCAACGCAAGAAAGATAAAAACCAAGATAATAGAAAACCTAGTCAACCTAAGAACACTGGACAACCTAGACTAAAACCTAGGAATGAAAGTGGTCATGGTAGACAACCTAAGAAAAATGATTTTGTGCATAAAAATGAATTTTCTCAAATAAGAAGAAATAATGCTAGAGCACCTAGAAAAGGCCAGTTTCAAAATTTCCAAAAACCATCATTTTCACAAAATAGGAACAAAATGGTTAAACCTTCTAACTATTATGAACCTAGGCACATGTACAACCCCAATGTAGTTTGCCATTATTGTAATAGGATAGGCCATATTGCTCCCGTTTGTTACACTAGGCATAGGCACCTATCACTAAATCAAGCACACTACCATCACACACCTAACACCCAAGGACCCAACGTAAATTGGGTACCTAAAACTCATTGATGTGTTTCATAGGTGTGCTTGAAGGCATCAAGTGTACTTTGGTACCTTGATAGCGGATGCTCCAAGCACATGACCGGGGATGCATCCAAGTTTCTCCAAATCAAACCCGCTAAAGGAGGAAACGTGATTTTTGGAGATAATAGCAAGGGAAAGATTATCTGCATTGGTTCGGTAGGTAAATCTGAAAACTCCTCTATATAATGTCTTGCTTGTTAAAGGTCTTAAACACAATCTCTTGAGCATAAGTCAATTATGTGACAAGGGAAACCGTGTGACCTTTGATTCAAAATCATGCACGGTAGAACGCCTTAATGACAATAAGGTCATTCTACGTGGTGATAGAATCGATAACATATATATATATATGGTTAACTTAGACAAATCTCCTTCCAGCTTTGCTAAGTGCCTCATGAGTAAAGAGGAAGACACTTGGTTATGGCACCAAAGGGTAGCTCATATTAACATGAACCTTTTGAACAAATTGGTTTCAAAAGACTTAGTAATTGGCATTCCAAAACTTAAGTTTGAAAAAGACGCCATATGTGATGCATGTCAAAAGGGGAAGCAAGTTCGGGCTTCGTTTAAGTCTAAGAACGTTGTTTCAACGTCTAGACCGCTTCAACTTTTGCACATGGATCTCTATGGTCCTTCTAGAACGAAAAGTTTTGGTGGCAATTACTTTGCGTTTGTGATTGTCGATGACTACTCTAGGTTTACATGGACCTTCAAAGAATGAGTATTTTCACTTCGTAAAGTACAAAAGTTTTTAAAAGATTTCTTTCAAGTTTTACTTTTTCTTTGTTGGTAACATCGGTATTCTTCGCTGGTACCCCCTCTCAAGGAACGAAATCTGTTTTCAGATTTGTGTGACGAACTTGGCATTGATCATAACTTCTCAGCCCCACGTACACCACAACAAAATGGATTGGTGGAACGTAAAAATAGATGTCTCGAAGAGATGGCTAGAACTATGATCAATGAGGCAAAAATCCCTAAGTATTTTTGGACGGATGCCGTGAGTACCGCGAGCTACGTGTTAAACTGAGCCGTCATTCGACCGATACTCATGAAAACGCCCTATGAATTATACAAAGGGAGAAAGCCAAACCTTTCCCATCTTCGAGTCTTTGGTTGCAAATGTTTTATTCATAATAACGGCAAAGATAACTTGGGAAAATTTGATGCCAAGTCGGACGAAGGGATTTTTCTTGGTTATTCTCTTCGCAGCAAGGCCTATAGAGTGTTAAATAAATGTACCTTGACTATTGAGGAGTCCCCTCATGTTGTATTTTCCGAATATAATGCTCGCTTGGCAAGAAAGGCTATTTGTGATGATCTTGCAGATTCACTCGAAAGATTACACGTTGAAGACGATGAAGAAGACACGCCATTATACACCAACCCCCAACCACAACCTGAGGAAACACCTCAAGTGATGGTCGAAAATGAGGACCAAGCGGACGAAGAAGAACAAGAGGAAGCCCAAGAACAAGAGGAAACCGAGCTTCCCATCGCTTGGAGAACGCACAAGAACCATCCACTTGACCAGGTAATCGGCAGCATCAACCGCGGGGTAAGTACTCGTAACTCTCTTAGGGACACCGTAGGTCACATGGCTTTTGTTTCTCAAATTGAACCTACAACCATTTTCGAAGCAATAAACGATGAACATTGGACCTTGGCTATGCAAGAGGAGCTAAATCAATTCAAACGGAATGACGTTTGGGAATTGGTGCCAAGACTCGATGATCGTACGATTATTGGTACGAAATGGGTGTTCCGTAACAAACATGATGAAAATGGAATAATCACTAGAAACAAAGCTAGGCTCGTAGCTAAAGGCTACAATCAAGAAGAAGGCATTGATTTTGAAGAAACCTATGCACCCGTAGCACGTTTAGAAGCTATTCGTTTACTTCTTGCTTTTGCTTCGTCTATGGATTTTAAACTTTATCAAATGGATGTTAAGAGTGCGTTCCTCAATGGTTTTATTCAAGAGGAAGTGTATGTTGACCAGCCCCCGGGGTTTGAAGACTTTGAGTTTCCTGATCATGTCTTTAAACTCAAGAAAGCGCTCTACGGTCTTAAACAAGCACCCCGTGCTTGGTACGAACGTTTGAGTAAATTTCTTTTGGATAGTGGTTTCCAAAGGGGAAAGGTGGACACCACACTTTTTATCAAGAGTAAAAACAATTACATCCTTTTGGTTCAAGTTTATGTAGACGATATTATATTCGGTGCTACTAACGAGTCTTTGTGCAAGGAATTCTCAATGCTAATGACTAGCGAATTTGAAATGTCAATGATGGGCGAGCTCACATTCTTTTTGGGACTCCAAGTTAAGCAAATGAAAGATGGCACGTTTATTTGCCAAGCTAAATATTGAAAGGAGCTCCTAAAACGGTTTGAAATGGACAACGCCAAAGCCATGGCGACCCCAATGAGTACGTCTGACCATCTTGACAAAGACGAGAAAGGTAAGGAAGTAGAAGTCAAAAAGTATCGAGGTATGATCGGATCCCTTCTCTATCTTACAGCTAGTAGGCCGGATATCATGTTTAGCGTTTGCCTTTGCGCAAGGTATCAATCGTGTTCGAAGGAATCGCACTTAACGGCGGTAAAATAGATTATGAAATACCTTGCCGGCACGGTTAACGTTGGACTGTGGTATCCAAAAGGCTCTTCTTGTCATCTCGTTGGCTATTCCGACTCGGACATTGCCGGTTGCAAATTGGACCGTAAAAGTATGAGTGGGACTTTCCACTTACTTGGTAGCTCTCTAGTCTCATGGTTTAGTAAAAAACAAGTCAGTGTTGCGTTATCCACAACCAAAGCGGAATATGTAGCCGCTGGTAGTTGTTGTGCTCAAATCCTTTGGATGAAGCAACAACTCGTGGACTATGGCCTTAATATCAATCACGTCCCTCTTCGTTGTGATAATACTAGCGCCATAAGCTTGACGAAGAACCCCGTTCTTCACTCAAGGACGAAACACATTGACATTAGGCATCATTTCATTAGAGATCATGTTCTCAAAGGTGATGTCGAAATTGAGTTTGTTGAAACGCATAACCAATTAGCCGACATTTTCACAAAACCTTTAGAGAAAGAGTCGTTCTTCCACATTCGAAGTGAACTCGGAATCCTTGACTCCACGATGATCTAAGTTGTGCATCTAAACTTATTAAACGTTTACTAACTTGAGCGTCAGAGAACTTTTTCTTTTTTGCAGGTACCACGTCCATGAAATCAGGGGGAACCATGCAAACAGCGCTGTCCAGGAGACCAAACAACGCTGTTGAGGGAAACACCGTCAACCAGAAAATTTTCCAACAGCGCTGTACAAGAAGCCAACAGCGCTGTCCCAGGGAGTCCCTCTTACCTTTGCCTTCCAGAATCTTTTTGTACATCGCTGACCCTTTTTCAACATCGCTGTCTACCAAAACACCTTGTTTTCAAACAAAACTAGAAAATTTTCCAACAGCGCTGCACACCATTACAACAGCGCTGTCCATTTTTACAAATTTTTTCTCTATCGCAAAACAGCGATGTAGAGGACCCAACAGCACTGTTCTAATGGGTTCACACCCTTACACAATTCCAGAAACTTTTTGAACATCGTTGTAGGGTACCCAACATCGCTGTCCTTTTGACTCCTGTTTTTTTAAACCTTGACGCAGAACAGCGCTGTACAAGGCACAACAGCAATGTCGCGTGTAGAACATCGCTGTTCTGGTCAATTTTTTCAAAAAAATATCTGTTGCACCAACATTTATTGCTCCAACAGCCATTTTTTTGAAAATCTGGACGTTGGAGGCCTCCTTTCCTTGAAATTGGAGCCTCCTCTCCTCAATTTTACACACACAAACACAATTCTCTCCCTTCCTCCTGCATTTTTTTTCAAAAGTCTTCATCATGGGCAAAGATAAGAACAGGGCAGGAGCTTCCGGCAAATCCAAAGCCAAATCCCGTGCGCCTACGACATCCTCCGAGGAGCGCCTATACTATGGCGACGGATCGTACCTCTATTTTGATTCCGAGGAGGAGTGCACCCGTTTTCTCACCTTCTTCTCTAAACGGGTTGTGGCTCCCCCACGAATCATCCCGGAGCGCTACCCGGAGCTGCAGGGCTACGACGACCTTGACGCACAGCTTCATCAAGCTGGCCTTTGGCCGTTCGTCTCCCGAGCGTGAAAGGATATCAACCCGGCGCTGATCCGGGCCTTCTACTCCAACCTCCGGCGTGAGGACGAGGTCATCTACAGCCTCGTGAAGTCCACGCGGATTGAGCTCACCGTGGAGCAGCTTGGGCGCATCGCCGGCCTTCCCTTCCAAGGCGAAGACGTCTCCCACTATGGCGGAGAAGACTGGGTGCTCAACAACGAGGGAAATATCCTCAACGAGCTTGGCATCACCGAGCTCATCCGCCATGCCTCGGGCCGCCCCACCAGCCACTCCGCTAACCCCGAAGGCCGCCTCGTCCTCTACATCGTGTCCCGGATCATCAAACCCCGGAAGCACGGCCACACAATCATGTCCGGTGAGGACCTCAAGCTCATCCACGCGATCATGCACTCGGCCCCAATCAATTGGGCGAAGTTTGTCATGATCAACATGACGATCGCCGCGTCCACCGACCACGACCACCTCCTCCCGTACCCGTTCGTGGTGATGGACATCCTTGAACGGTTCAAGGTAACCACCACCGTTGGCCCGCTCACGAAGGCCACGAAGCTTTGGACAATCAGCAACCAAACCTTCACCAAGCGGTCGGACAACGACGCGACTGCCACTGCCGAGCCACGCCGTGATGCCGCTGCCGCTGGCCCAGCCGAACCCCAGGCCCGGGCCAACCTCGCCTCCATCGCCGACTCCCTCAACCGGCTCCACCTCAAAGTTAACGGGATGGAAGGCTACCTTGAACGGCTCAACATGGCTGTTCAACGCCAAGGGTACGCCATGAACGCGTACTTCCAAGGCATCAACTACGTCCCTCCACCACTCCACGGCACCTTCCTCGGGGAAGTGTACGGTGATGAAGACGAAGAGGATGGCTCCTTCTCCCAGTCAAGCTTCCTGGATGAGGATAAGTTCGACGATGCCATTGATGGTGATGAGATGGACGACGACGACGACGAGGAAGAAACCGAAGATGAAAGCTAGGACACCCCTAGCATTTCTATCTCTTCGTTTAATTATCTTGTTTTTTTAATGCTTCCGTTGTACTCCGCTATTTCCCATTCATAAAAAAAATTATCTTTTTATCTTTTTGTTAATGACAAAAGGGGGAAGAAAAGGGCTATGCATATACTAAGGGGGAACGCCTCTAAAAACGAGACCGTTTGATTTTTAATCCAACAAATTTTTAAGCACAAATTACGGGGGAACTTTTTCACAATTTTTTTGAAAATCAAATATCCCTTAGTATGCATATCCCCGTCTTGTTTGCCATTATCAAAAAGGGGGAAATTGTTGGAACACGGGTTTGCGCCTACGTCGTACTAAACTGTGTTCGTTCCTATGACAGGTTTTGATAATGCCAAATCTCCGTGACATAACAAGGCTAAAGTGAGCAAAAACCAAGGCGAAGGAACATGGAATGATGATTTGAGAACCAAGAACCAAGAATCAAGACCGAAGAATTAGAATTGTATTGAGTCGGTCTTAATGTGATCAAGACCGGCACGAACTTTCAAAACATGGCTCTCTAGGCTCATTTCATCAAAATACTTTTTACAAATTCAAAAATGTTTTTCATAAGTTTTCAACTTGCCTAAAAATACTTGAAGTTCGCCCAAACCAAAAACCAAGCTATCCGGCATTCGGCCTTCAGAAACCGGCGTTCGGCTTTCGGTTTTCGGCGTTGGTTTTTGGCGTCCGAACCAACCAAGTGGTTTTCAACTTCTTATGATTGGTTTTTACTTCTGGGCATATTTAAAAAATTCTCCAACAAAAACACTTCAAAAACCACCTTCCGTTGCTGGTCGTTTAGTGAAAACCATGTGAAACGGTGCAAATTGGTTAGCCGTGGTTTTTAAGATATTTTACTTGATTTCTTAGCAAAATGCAATAAACAAATGTTTTCAATACTTGGTTTTCATTTTGGAGAACTTATTTTTTGACATCGGCTAACGGCATGACTAAACCAACCATGGGTCTGGCTAAACCAGCCCAACAGCGATGTTGGTGTAACCAACAGCGCTGTCTGGCTTGGGTAGCTAAAAACCATGGTTTGGCGTTAAGTCTTCCAACAGCGATGTTGGACTTCAGACATCGCTGTTGAGCCAAGGTTGGATTTCCAGAAACTTCTGGAACGGCGATGTAGGCTTCCCTACAGCGCTGTCCAACCTAAGCCAAAAATATAGTGCATTGGCAGAAAGTTTTTGGACAGCGATGTTGACCCAGCAACAGCGCTGTCAGGCCAAACTTCCATCTTCAAAAGTCAGACCTAAACAGCGATGTTCAAGTAATGAACATCGATGTAGGGACCTGACCATTGGAAGGAATTTAAGGCTAAAACATTCCTTGTTTGGAAGTCAACAGCCAAAACAGCGATGTAAGGGTATTAGACACCGCTGTTGGCATGACCGTTGCTTCCCAATTTTCAAAATCCAAGCCTAGAACAGCGATGTCCAAGCCTAGGACAGCGCTGTCTGGGTGAACTTCAGCAGATCCAAATTTAATCAAATCCCACAAATTGTGCAAATCACCCCTTAAATACTTTGGTCTGTTGGAGCCTATTTTTTCTAGTATAAAATGGGGTGTTTGGGTCTGTTTTACACATCACATTACTTCACAACTCCTACTCTTTCATTGCAAATCATTCATCCTTTATTCATAGCTTTTTGAGAGCCATTTTTTGTGAAGCTTGTGTTGTGTTCTTGAGCGTTCTTAGTTACTCATTATCCACTCTAAAAGAGAGTATTGTTCTTGAGTGTTTTTAGTGTTCTTAGACACTTGACAAGAGAAAGTATTTCTCTTGTTGTTCGAATGAAGGGTTGTTTCCTTCGAAGGTTCGTTGAGGTTCGTGTGACTCGAACTCTCAAGTTGTACGGGTTTGTTAAGCACCGTTAAGCTTAACGAGATAGTAGTGTAGCTCGAGAGATTCTCTCGGGAGGCTGGATTAGCCACAAGTTGTGGTGAACCAGGGTAAAATCGATGTGACTCTTACTCTTCTCCTTACTTCTTGTTTTCTCACTTTTTTATTCCTGCAATTTTTTTGATCAAACGCTATTCACCCCCCCTCTAGCCTTGGTCTATTATTCTAACAGTTTTCAACATTTTATGATTGGTTTTCACTCTTTGGCATGTTTAAACAGTTCTCCAACAAAAACACCTTGAAAACCACCTTTTGTTTTTTGTCGTTTTGCAAAAACCATGAAAAATGGTGCAAACTTGGCTAGCTATGGTTTTTACTCAAATGACGTGGTTTTTAAAGTGTCTCACTTGATTTCTTAGCCAAACACATTAAATAAGTGTTTTAAACACTTGGTTTTTACTTTGGAGAAATTTGGACTTTTCGGTCGGTTTTTGCATCGATTGGCTAGGCCGTGGTTAAGGCAAAAACCATGGGTTTTTGGCTAACCACCCACCCAGCAATGGGAAGAACTTCCCATCGATGGGTATGCGGTCCTTCAGCCTAACCAAGTTCCAGAACCATGCCAAACAGCGATGGGATGTTCTACCCATCGCTGTTAAAGCCTTGGTCCAACATCAACACACGGTAGAACGACCTTACCCAGCGATGGGGAACTTATCCCATCGATGGGAACCCAGCGATGGTAAGGGTAAACCATCGATGGGAAGGCATGACCGTTGGAAGTCATTTAAGGTTGATTCTTTCCTTGTTTGGAAGTCAACCTCCCACCCAGCGATGGCAAGCTTGTACCCATCGATGGGTAGGTGACCGTTGGCTTCAAAACTGAAGGAAAATTGGCTTACCAGCGATGGTTGAGTCTAAACATTGATGGGAAGCCAATATCCTGCAGATCCCAAATTTATTCAATCCCATAAATCAAGCCAATCACCCCTTTAATGTATTGGTCCGTTGGAGCCTATTTTGGCACTATAAAAAGGGGTGTTTGGGTCTGCTTTTATCATCAATTCACTTCACAATTCTCCTACTTTCATTGCATTCAAACAACATCCTTTTCCATAGCTTTTTAAGAGCCAATTCGTGTGAAGTTTGAGTTGTTCTTGAGCGTACTTAGTTTACTCAATATCTACTCTAAAAGAGAGTCTTGTTCTTGAGTGTATTTGTGTTCTTAGACACGTAGAGAGAAAGTATTTCTCTCGTTTGATTCAAAAGAAGGGCTGTTTTCTTTGAAGGATTCGTTGAGGTTCGTGTGACTCGAACTCTCAAGTTGTAAGGGTTTGTTAAGCACCGTTAAGCTTAACGAGATAGTAGTGTAGCTCGAGAGAGTCTCTCGGGAGGCTGGATTAGCCACAAGTTGTGGTGAACCAGGGTAAAATTCGGTGTGCCTCTTACTCTTCTCTTTACTTCTCTCTTAAATTTTTAGTTCCTGCGATTTCTACGATCAAATGCTATTCACCCCCCCTCTAGCGTTGGTCTATTATTTTAACAATTGGTATCGGAGCCTAACTCGCGTCCAAACTTAACCGTTTGAGAGTAAAGCGATCATGGGTTCTTCTTCTAGAAATCTTTATGCAGGGATCGGAGAAGGTCAATCAACTTCCAGGCCACCGCTTTTTGATGGCACCAACTACACTTATTGGAAAGAGCGGAAGAGAATTTATATCTGCTCAACCAACATCCAGTTTGGTTGGTCATCAAAAACAGCGAAGAAACGCCAATGAAGAAGGTCGGTGAAAAACTCGTCCCAAAGACCAAGGACGAATTTGATGCCGAAGACATCAAAAAGGTGGAGAACTACGCCAAGTCAATCAACATGCTGTACTGCACGGTCAACCCCGATGATTATCACAAGATCTCTTGCTGCACCACCGCCAAAGAAATGTGGGACAAGCTGGAGGTCACATACAAAGGTACGGACCATGTTCGGGAAGCCAAAATTGACTTCCTAACACAGGAGTACGAGATGTTTAGGTTGAAGGAAGGCAAAAAGATCGATGACATGTTCGATCGGTTCTCCAAGATCATCAATCGACTCATATATGGCATCGGCTTTTGAACGCCATTCCGGTGTTAAGCTCCAAAGGATTTTTCGAACAAGATCTTTGTTCGAGTATGTTTTACCAAGGACATGGAGATCGTTGATGATCTTTAAAAATCGGTCAAACATTTGATCAACGCTTTCAATTTCCTTCATTTTAAACAACTCATATTCATGGGTTAGAAAATCAATTTTAGCTTCACGGACTTGAGGCGTACCTTCGTATGTCACTTCAAGCTTATCCCACATTTCTTTTGCAGTGGAGCAAGAAGAAATTTTCCAGTAGTCATCTGGGTTAATTGCACAAAAAATCACGTGTTTAGATTTTTCAAAAGCTTCTACCTTCCTGATGTCTTCAGCATTATATTCTTCCTCCTTCTTTGGGATGGTGGTTTCACCAACATTTTTCATTGGCATCGTCTCACCCTTTTTTATTATTAACCACAGTTGGAAGTTGATTGACCGAATGTAAATCCTCATTCGTTCCTTCCAATAGGTGTAGTTTGTTCCATTGAAGAGTGGAGGTCTAACAGTGGAGTTTCCTTCGCTTAATCCTGCATACGACATTCTCAACAAAAAATATAGATCGTTCTCTCAACCGGTTAAGGCTTGTAGAGAGTTAGTCTCTGATACCAATTGTTAGAATAAGTGCCCTTCACTAGAGGGGGGGGGGGATGAATAGTGAGGCACGAGAATGTTTATAAATTTTCGCGGAATAAAAACCGTAGGGATAAAGTAGAGAGCGGAATAAAAAGGAGTAAAGGGAGCACACCGATTTTACCCTGGTTCACCATAACGTGTGGCTAGTCCAGCCTCCCGAGAGACTCTCTCAAGCTACACTACTTCCGTTGAGCTTACGGGTGCTTAACAAACCGTTACAACCTGAGAACTCAAGTCCCACGAGCCTCAATACACTTGCTCGGAGATACCGCACTCCAAGACTTCAACTCGAAGGAATATGCCCTTCCTTCGTACAACCAAGGGAACAAACCTGCCTTAAAGTGTTCACAACACTTAACCACTTAAGAACAAAAACTCTCTTAAAGAGTAGAATATGAGTAAACTAATTTAGATCAAGAACACACTCAATTCCTCAAGAAATGGCTCTAAAAAGCTATGTAAAAAGTTTATGGAATGATGCAATGTAAAGCTATGAAATGTGTGAGGAATGGATGTTAAAAGTAGACCGAAAAGACCCCTATTTATACCCAAAAATGATGTGTAACGGATGGGAGTTGATTGGGGTTTAATGGCATGATTTGTGGAAATCAAATCAAAGTTGGTCTACAGAATTTTAGCCTAACATCGCTGTTCATATAGTGAACATCGCTGTTTTGGCTTTGACTTTCCTTTAAAAATGGCTAATAGTCATTAAAACATCAATGTCTAGAAGTCTACATCGATGTTGGGGTGTTTGACTTTCAAAAATGGAAAGATTTTGTCTTAAATAGCCCAACGGTCATTTGAAAACATCGCTGTTCAACAATGAACATCGCTGTTCAAAAACTTACTGCCCAGGACTTCTGAATGCCAACACCGCTGTTGGGAAATCCTACATGCATGTTGGGCTGGTTCGCCAGAACCATGGTTTAGCTGCCAACGCCGAAAACCGATGTCAAAAACCAAAGTTATCCAAAATGAAAACCAAGTGTTGGAAACTCTTATATAATGTATTTAATGTAGAAACCAAGTATAAAAACTGAAAAACCACTTCTTTAAGGTAAAAATCACGGCTAGCCAAGTTTATGCCGTTTCACATGGTTTTCACCAAAAGACCAAAAACGAAAGGTGGTTTTTAACATGTTTTTGTTGGAGAACCATTTGGATATGTCCAGAAGTAAAAACCAATCATAAAATATTAAACACCACTTGATTGATTTGGACACCAAAAATCAACGCCGATAACCAGCGCCGAATGCCGATAACCAACTCCGAAAAAACAAAGGTTATGGTTTTTGAAAACTAATGATTTTGAAAACCTTTTAATGTATCCAGAAGCTTAAACCAAGGATAAAAACCCAAAAACCATTTGGTTAAAATCAATGCCAATAACCAATGCCGAAAACCGAATGCCATAGCCGAACGCCGATAACCGATGGTTATGATTTTGGTTAAGCAAGAACCATGGGTTTTAGAAACTTAAAAAGAATTTATGAAAACACTCATTTGATGCATGAAAAACATATTTTGTTTTGAGCCATGACGTAGAGAAATTGAATGAGCTTGTTACAATAAAAACCAAAGTATTTAAAATACGTCTTCAAAACGCCAATGTCGCCATCTTTAGCAGCGTCAATGCCTTTCTTTTGCTTTTTGTTTCTTCAAAGAAGGTTTTTTATCTCTTTGAATCTTTTCATTTTGTTCCATGTTCCCGACGGTTTGTGAATATCAAAACCTAAACGGAAACAAACATTGTCATTAGCAAAATGTCAAAGTGAAAATGTTTTCCAACAATTTCCCCCTTTTTGATAATGACTAACCAAGGAGGGGATATGCAGGCCAAGTTGGGTTTTCAAAGAGAGAGTAATGGTAATTCCCCCTACGTGTTTGAAAACAACATTCCCCCTCACTTGTTGCATGTACCCAAACACTTCCCCCTTTTGGCATTAGCAAAAAGTGCTAAGTAAAGTTTACAAAAAAAGGTACTCCCTGAGAATTGATGTTTCATACAAAACATCATTGTTGTATGTTCCCCTTGAAACTGATACCATGTTTATAGAAAAAAACAATTCCCCCAAACTCCCCTTGATGCAAATCATTAGGTTTCGTGCTTGGAGCATCCACTACAAAAATGTAGTCTTCAAACACACCTACATATGCATCGAAAAATAATTTTTAGGTACCCAAAAACGTTTGGGTCCATGAGGGTTTGGCAAAAAATAATCATAATCATAATTATAAGAAGTGTCCCTATGTCTAGAAAAACAAACGGGAGCTATGCGTCCTATCTTAGAACAATAATGGCGTACTACGTTTGGATTATGCATATGCCTAGGTTGAGCCAAAAACTTTCTAGGTGATCTAAAATCATCATTCCTAGAATTATTAACTAAATTTCTAGACTCATTTCTAGGTTGTCTCAAAATATTTTTACCATTTGTAAAAATCCTAGAGTCAATTCTAGGATGTCTTACCCTGTTACTTTTATTCTTTCTAAAATTAATTTTGTTATACCTAGGATTATTAGTTCTTCTAGGTGGTCTATCATTCTTAACTTCTTGACAAAGTTTCTTAGGCTCTTTTACCTTAATTTTTTTAATGGTGCTCTTAAGTTCTACATTCTCTACTTTTAAAGGCTCACAAGAGGAACAAGTAGAACTTTGGTCAAAGAAGGAATCTTCATTCATTGCCTTAATTTTATGTTTGAGGTCATAATTATCATTTTCCAAACATTTATTTTCCTCTTCCAAAGCATGAATTTTTGCCTTAGCCTCTTTGGCAATTTTTGAAGTTTTCTTCAATTCACCAAATAATTCTTGAAAGGCTTCTTGTAATTCTTCAAATGAGAAAGAGTTAGAAGTACTTACCTCTCCATTTCGTTCATGAGCCATAAGACATAAGGTGGCGGTTTCGTCACCGGAACTTTCTGAATCCCATGCCATGTATGCTCGTTCCTTCTTCTTTTCCTTGCAGTTTGGGAAATATGGCTTTATGTGGCCAAGTTCTCCACAACCAAAGCACGTTGGAACGGGTTCCCCCTTTCCTTTGCAATCTCGGGACCTAAGTTCTTCCTTCAAAAACTCTTGGAACTTCTCGAGCAAGTTATAAGAAGGATTATCGTCATCGCTATCGGAGTCACTTACCTCTACCCTTTTTGAGGATGAGGCTTTGAGAGCGAGACGAGGACTCTTGTGAAGAGAAGGTTTAAGAACAGTAGATTCATAAGTTTTAAGATTACCTCGAAGACCATAGATGGTGACATTGGTGTTACCAATCGACTCATATATGGCATCGGCTTTTGAACGCCATTCCGGTGTTAAGCTCCAAAGGATTTTTCGAACAAGATCTTTGTTCGAGTATGTTTTACCAAGGACATGGAGATCGTTGATGATCTTTAAAAATCGGTCCAACATTTGATCAACGCTTTCAATTTCCTTCATTTTAAACAACTCATATTCATGGGTTAGAAAATCAATTTTAGCTTCACGGACTTGAGGCGTACCTTCGTATGTCACTTCAAGCTTATCCCACATTTCTTTTGCAGTGGAGCAAGAATAAATTTTCCGGTAGTCATCTGGGTTAATTGCACAAAAAATCACGTGTTTAGCTTTTTCAAAAGCTTCTACCTTCTTGATGTCTTCAGCATCATATTCTTCCTCCTTTGGGATGGTGGTTTCACCAACATTTTTCATTGGCGTCGTCTCAACTTTTTTGATGATTAACCACAGTTGGAAGTTGATTGACCGAATGTAAATCCTCATTCGTTTCTTCCAATAGGTTTAGTTTGTTCCATCGAAGAGTGGAGGTCTAACGGTGGAGTGTCTTTCGCTTAATCCTGCATACGACATTCTCAACAAAAATATAGATCGTTCTCTCAACCGGTTATGGCTTGTAGAGAGTTAGTCTCTGATACCAATTGTTAGAATAAGTGGCCTTCACTAGAGGGGGGGGGTGAATAGTGAGGCACGAGAATGTTTATAAATTTTCGCGAAATAAAAATCGCAGGGATAAAGTAGAGAGCGGAATAAAAAGGAGTAAAGGGAGCACACCGATTTTACCCTTGTTCACCATAACGTGTGGCTAGTCCAGCCTCCTGAGAGACTCTCTCGAGCTACACTACTTCCGTTAAGCTTACGGGTGCTTAACAAACCGTTACAACCTGAGAACTCGAGTCCCATGAGCCTCAATACACTTGCTCGGAGATACCGCACTCCAAGACTTCAACTCGAAGGAATATGCCCTTCCTTCGTACAACCAAGGGAACAAACCTCCCTTAAAGTGTTCACAACACTTAACCACTCAAGAACAAATGTGCTAATCGATTATTCCATAGCTCTGAATCCTGAGTGAATCTATTCCTGTTTCCTCATCCTAAGATTGGGTATAAGGCTAAAATTATGTCCTGATTTTCAACAAAGAATAAAGCCTTTTCTTCCACAAAACAAAAGCATAATCACTTTTGAAACAAAGGAACAAAATCAGAAACAAAGTCATTGAATGAATAGTGCTGTTTTGGCATTTTATTCACAAAAGTCTAAAGCTTGATTCCCCTTTGTTTTCTTCCTTATATGCACGAAATTTCTACCCAAATAAACCCAAAGAAGATCAGCTCAAAATCAGGAGAAGCATCATGGAAAATCAACTCACATGGATGGGCATTAAGCATNATAGTGTGATGCTATTTTAACCAAATTTCCTAATGAAATATCTCTAAAGTTGGCTACTTTTGAGTGCGTGTTAGGAGTCTAATTTTATACATTAGTAGTGATTATTAATGTGTAAAAGAAGATAAAAGCCCCAAGTTAAGATAAGAGTGTGTCATATCTCTTAACACCAACTTGGTTTATCCCTTCACTTTATTTCTGCCCATTTCATTCCTCACCATTTCTTCTTCTTAAACTTATTCTTTTCTCTCATTAAAAACACCAAAAAGAACTCTTTCCTACACTCCATATTTTACCCCTTCAGTTCCATCGTCCATTTTCTCCGCAAATCCTTCTCCAAATTAGCTACTCGATAAGACCCCGGGTCTCGGGTACAACACTATATTAGATCAAGAACACACTCAATTCCTCAAGAAATGGCTCTAAAAAGCTATGTAAAAAGTTTATGGAATGATGCAATGTAAAGCTATGAAATGTGTGAGGAATGGATGTTAAAAGTAGACCGAAAAGACCCCTATTTATACCCAAAAATGATGTGTAACGGATGGGAGTTGATTGAGGTTTAATGGCATGATTTGTGGAAATCAAATCAAAGTTGGTCTACAGAATATTAGCCTAACATCGCTGTTCATATAGTGAACATCACTGTTTTGGCTTTGACTTTCCTTTAAAAATGGCTAACGGTCATCAAAACATCAATGTCTAGAAGTCTACATCGATGTTGGGGTGTTTGACTTTCAAAAATGGAAAGATTTTGTCTTAAATAGCCCAACGGTCATTTAAAAACATCCCTGTTCAACAATGAACATCGCTGTTCAAAAACTTACTACCCAGGACTTCTGAATGCCAACATCGCTGTTGGGAAATCCTACATGCATGTTGGGCTGGTTCGCCAGAACCATGGTTTAGCTGCCAACGCCAAAAACCGATGTCAAAAACCAAAGTTCTCCAAAATGAAAACCAAGTGTTGGAAACTCTTATAGAATGTATTTAATGTAGAAACCAAGTATAAAAACTTAAAAACCACTTCATTAAGGTTAATATCACGGCTAGCCAAGTTTATGCTGTTTCACATGGTTTTCACCAAAAGACCAAAAACGAAAGGTGGTTTTTAACATGTTTTTGTTGGAGAACCATTTGGATATGTCCAGAAGTAAAAAACAATCATAAAATATTAAAAAACACTTGATTGATTTGGACACCAAAAACCAACGCCGATAACCAGCGCCGAATGCCGATAACCAACTCGGAAAAAACAAAGGTTATGGTTTTTGAAAACTAATGATTTGGAAAACCTTTTAATGTATCCAGAAGCTTAAAAATAGGATAAAAACCCAAAAACCATTTGGTTAAAATCAATGCCAATAACCAATGCCGAAAACCGAACGCCATAGCCGAACGCCGATAACCGATGGTTATGGTTTTGGTTAAGCAAGAACCATGGGTTTTAGAAACTTAAAAACCATTTATGAAAACACTCATTTGATGCATGAAAAAAATATTTTGTTTTGAGCCATGACGTAGAGAAATTGAATGAGCTTGTTACAATAAAAACCTAAGTATTTAGAATACGTCTTCAAAACGCCAATGTCGCCATCTTTAGCAGCGTCAATGCCTTTCTTGTGCTTTTTGTTTCTTCAAAGAACTTTTTCTATCTCTTTGAATCTTTTCATTTTGTTCCATGTTCCCCACGGTTTGTCAATATCAAAACCTAAATGGAAACAAACATTGTCATTAGCAAAATGTCAAAGTGAAAATGTTTTCCAACACTTTGGATGTCATAACAAAGGGTATACAATACGTACTTGCTAGAAAAATACACAAGAACAATCAGAACCAGAAGAAAACACGCAAGAAATAGATTTTGATAATGAGCTGTAAACGAAGGTAGATAATGGAGAAGACTTTTAGTATAGTTCTAATTCAGTTTGATTTCATGGATTTGTTTCAATTCGAAAATAAGGTTGTGGTTGACGTCTTATTTTGACCAATGCAATAATTTGTCATGTCGTTGATGTTTCACGATGTCGCGTTTGGTCGACTTCTAATTTACTCAGTTAATTTCATGTATATAAATGTTATAATTTGTGTTGATGTTTGATTTAGATATACAATATAATGGACATAAGAACAATCAAAACTAGAAGAAAACCCACAAGAAGCAGATGCTGATATTGAGCCGGTAACAAAGGCAAATAATGGAGAAGAATTTTAGTAGAGTTCTAATTCGGTTTGGTTTCATGGATTTGTTTCGATATGTCAAAACAAGGTTGTGGTTGACTGTTGATGTCTTATTTTGATCAATGTAAGAATCTATTGTGTCGTCGATGTTTGATGACGTCGTGTTTGGTCGACTTCTAATTTACTCGGTTAATTTCATGTATATAAATGTTCATCTCTCATCGATGTTTGATTTATTCATATAATATAATGGACACAAGAACAATCAGAACTAGAAGAATATACGCTGGAAACAGATTTTGTTATTGAGCCAGAAATAAAGCCAATTTAAAGAAAATACTCAAAAAGAGTAAACAATAATTTCATTCAAAACAATTAGGTGTACAATAGCCATAAGTCCAAACTATATATACAACAATACGGGTGGAGCAATACAATAATAACAACATAGGCAGCTTCCTATCTCCTTCTCATAAATCAAAGAATAATCATCATTTGTTTTTTATCTCCTTAGTGGCCTGGATTGAATTAATGGATAAGGTGGGATTTTCTTTGGCTTATTTTGGGCTGTCAAATTCGGCCATAAGGGAGCCGAATCAAAGGAAGATGCTGGGTGGGTTTTGGAGATGTTGTTTGGCCTGTTTTGGTGACATATTTCGACCCTTAGTGGTTAAAACAAAAAGGGAACATTGTGTGGCTAGTTGAGGAATCCTTTTGTCTTGATGTGAGTTATTATTTTCGGCAATTAGTATATGAATCAAGAAAGGATATTTGTGGGGTTTAGAATGATAATGGGCTGTTTCGGCCTATAGTGCAAGAAGGAACAAAGAAAGATCATTAAATGGTGTGGTGTGGAAATAGTCAAGAAAAGACAAGAAATCACTATTCCACTTTATGACTTTTGGCTGATATTGTTCCTTTGTGATAAGTGGTGATTTGGTTGGATTTTTAGAACAAAAAGGGGCTAGAATTNAGGGAGCCGAATCAAAGGAAGATGCTGGGTGGGTTTTGGAGATGTTGTTTGGCCTGTTTTGGTGACATATTTCGACCCTTAGTGGTTAAAACAAAAAGGGAACATTGTGTGGCTAGTTGAGGAATCCTTTTGTCTTGATGTGAGTTATTATTTTCGGCAATTAGTATATGAATCAAGAAAGGATATTTGTGGGGTTTAGAATGATAATGGGCTGTTTCGGCCTATAGTGCAAGAAGGAACAAAGAAAGATCATTAAATGGTGTGGTGTGGAAATAGTCAAGAAAAGACAAGAAATCACTATTCCACTTTATGACTTTTGGCTGATATTGTTCCTTTGTGATAAGTGGTGATTTGGTTGGATTTTTAGAACAAAAAGGGGCTAGAATTTCATCCCTAATGTAGGAAGAAGAGGGGAAGACATTATTTGGCTAACAAAGACTTTAAAAGATAAAAACAATAAGGTCTTATTTTCCCTTCCTTTGATCTCATTTTTGACTAGGGGTTAAAAATGGATGGAAAAGAATTTATTTTGATTTAAAGAAAAGAAAGAAGACTTTTGGATATGTTGGGAGAGTTTGGGTTTTGGTGGAGCCATCCAGGGGTACATCATACTCCCCTTCTTCGAAGAAAGTTTGTCCTCAAACTTTCGCACCACCGGGACTGATTTGGAGTTTCATAAAAAAATTCCCGCATCAAATGGGAAACTTGAGAAAGTACCACTGATGAGGTTCTCTCCGAAATCAGTTTGCGCCTCTTTGTGTAGTGTTCGGAAATATGCAATCGGTTTTAGTAGAACCTCCTTCACACTTACTTCATTGATTTGATGAGATTCTCCTTCACTGATTAGATGATAATACTTTGAGGAAACCACTTCCTTAAAACATACATCACCTAGTGTAGCTTCCTCCATGACATCCTTTTCAAAGAAGTTTCCATCAATAAGGATTGAATCTTCTTGTGACTTAGAAGTTGGTTCTTCTATGAAGACATCTTTGTAATTCCCATCATGTTCATTCTCATATGCTGCTATGATCCTTACATGCTCTTCATAAGGAATTGCTTCTTTATTTGTGCACCTCCAATAATGATGGCTATAGCCACAGCACATGTAGCACCGTTTAATAGGTCCTTGAAGGATTGCCTCTTTTGCATAAATAATCTCAAGAATTTTGAAGTATCTTTGGATATCCATATCTCAACAACCAGAGATTGGAATGTAGTGATTCCAACTCTCAAAGTTAGATATTGAAGTCCTTAAAGACATATCAAAAATTAAGAGCCATTGAAGTATGTGTGCTACCTCGTTGGAGACAAAAGAACAAGCTAGACAGCATTTGGACAAGACTGCATTGTCAACTTTGGAAGGCCGTATCTCGCTAACCACAACTCTGAATTGAGTGAAATCAGCGGCCAGACATAGATAAAAGGTTGAACTTTCAGACTGAAAAGTTTCACGTCGAAATTAGTTTTGCACCTTCCTCCGTGATCACTGCTTTGGGGCTTAAATTTTCAGGAGAAATTTTCAGCAGCCTTGTTTTGTGCAACGTGGGTGAAGCTGGTCCTCCGGTAATCGTCGAGACTTGAGAAAGTCATCGAAGTTCAGCTCTGATACCAGATGTTGTACCCGAGACCATGGGTCTTAACGAGTAGCTATTTTGGAGAAGGATTTGCGCAGAAAATGGACGATGGAATTGAAGGGGTAAAATATGGAGTATGGGAAAGAGTTCTTTTTGGTATTTTGATTTATGAAGATAGAATAGAATGGGGTTTAGGAAGAGAAAATGGAGAGGAATGAAATGGGGAGAAATAAAGTGAAGGGATAAACTAAGTTGGTGTTAAGAGATATGACACACTCATATCTTAACTTGGAGCTTTTATCTTCTTTTACACATTAATAATCACTACTAATGTATAAAATTAGACTTCTAACACGCGCCCTAAAGTAGCCAACTTTAAAGATATTTCATTAGGAAATTTGGATAAAATAGCATCACACTAATTTAAAGAAAATACTCAAAAAGAGTAAACAATAATTTCATTCAAAAAAATCTGGTGTACAATAGCCATAAGTCCAAACTAGCAATACAATAATAACAACATAGACAGCTTCCTATCTCCTTCTCATAAATCAAAGAATAATCGTCATTTGTTTTTTATCTCCTTAGTGGATTGAATTAATGGATAAGGTGGGATTTTCTTTGGCTTGTTTTGGGCTGTAAAATTCGGCCATAAGGGAGCCGAATCAAAGGAAGATGATGTGTGGGTTTTGGATATGTTGTTTGGCCTGTTTTGGTGACATATTTCGACCCTTAGTGGTTAAAACAAAAAGGGAACATTGTGTGGCTAGTTGAGGAATCCTTTTGTCTTGATGTGAGTTATTATTTTCGGCAATTAGTATATGAATCAAGAAAGGATATTTGTGGGGTTTAGAATGATAATGGGCTGTTTCGGCCTATAGTGCAAGAAGGAACAAAGAAAGATCATTAAATGGTGTGGTGTGGAAATAGTCAAGAAAAGACAAGAAATCACTATTCCACTTTATGACTTTTGGCTGATTTTGTTCCTTTGTGATTAGTGGTGATTTGGTTGGATTTTTAGAACAAAAAGGGGCTAGAATTTCATCCCTTATGTAGGAAGAAAAGGGGAA